GCAGGTGGCCAGGTTAGGCCCGTGGCATATGACGTCACGCAAGAAGTGAAGCTGCGTCCGCGGCAGTCGGCGGTGTATTTCCGGAAGGTCACGCCTAAGGACGGCTGACACGGAGCATGGGGACGGGAGCCACCGAACCAAGATAACCCGGAGGACAGGGGGCAGGCAGGAGATCGCGGCTCTCCAGACCACGACCCGCGGCATGTATTGTATCGTGATCGCCGACCTTTTACCTGCCGCTGACGCGTCTTGGCCGACGGCCTTGGCGCGGTGCCGAAAAATACCTCGGTTACGCTCCTGGGCCGCACTTAACGCAAACTATGCGTTGATGGAGTTGTTTTTGGTGTTGCGCTCCGGCTGTGGAGTCCCAGTAGTGCTCATCCTGACCTCTGAAACGGCTCGAGCGGGCGTGGCTGCGTTTCTGTTCGTTCCCCGAATGTCGCGCACTTGACAGTTACTGTGCACGCTCAACGAATGCCTGTGTTTTTTTATCACGCAATGAGCCTTGTGCTTCTCAGTTTGCCGTGCATGTTTGCAGTTTTTGAATCGTATCTGCACACGTCTCTTGTATAAAATACAAAAGGCGATTGATGTTGCATGACGCCCACTAGTTGTATGTGGCTCCTTTTGTGTCCGTTCCTGTCGCTGTTTGAACACAATGTGTATCGTGGTGATGGGTCGTTATTTTCTAATATGCATTACAACATTACAACAACATTTCCAACATTACATACTTAGGGACTACAACTCCAGTGAAGAACATTAACGCTGGTATGGTTTTCAATACCGAATCTGTACGGTGGCACCGGCCATCATGATTGCGATCAGCAAGAACAGTTATCACCCCGTGGACCTGAATCATGTGGCACTCAGATGGCCGTGCGGTACATGCAGCGGTGCCCGTCACAATTGTAATTTGTGGTTGTGGTGGGGGATGTTCCCACTAATAGGAACGTTTCTAAACCTTGAATCGTTTTTACCAAACGGGGCAAAATGGTGGGATGCGGGGGATGTGGCGCATGTGACATCGGGTTGGACACCAGTTAGACATGCAGCTTATGGGAACCATGGATACTTAACTAAGGTAACCCCGCGCTCTGCTGAATCATTGAGCCGGCCTCGGCGAAAACAAAGCTGCCGTGAGAGCACCGGACGCAAGTACCATTACAATGCCAATACATATTGATAGATGTAGTTATTACGTTGAACCATACTCAGTCTTGCCAGTGCCGTTTCTTCCGTGAGTGAGGTTATGTCTCAGAGTCGTGTGTTGATACCATCGTGAGGTAAGCGCCGAGCCCGCGTTCACTTGTTGGTAACTGTCCTGTTCTAGGACCACATTGTGGTAGTGGGCTCAAGACGTGGTCTTGGTCCTCGAGTCCTGCACGTGATGTTTGCGACCCAGGCGATTATTTCCGCATGCGTCGTGTGCCAGCCGGACCTCCGGCACCGAGCGAACGCCGGCGAAGAAGGGCCGGAGCCGCGCCTTGCCCGGCCGGCCTCCTCCTGATGCGGTGCAGGCTCGCCGTCTGGCCGGACCGCTCACCATCCGCCGACCCGCGCTCGCGGCCGCTCACCGTCCGCCGACCCCCGCTCGGAACCGGCTGCTGGCCGCGAACCCGCGCTCGGAACCGGCTGCTAGCCGCGGACCCGCGCTCGGAACCGGCTGCTAGCCGCGGACCCGCGCTCGGAACCGGCTGCTAGCCGCGGACCCGCGCTTGCGGCCGCTCACCGTCAGCCGGCCCGCGCTCGCGGCTGCCTACTGCCCGCGGGCCTGCGCTGGCGGCTGCTCACCACGCTCGCGGCCGGCTGCTGGCCGCGGGCCAGCGCCGGCCGCCGCCGGACGGGCGTCGCGTGCCGGGCGGCGCCGTCGGCCAGCTCCTGCCCGACCCACGCCGGCGCCGCCTGAGGGCGGGCAGGACCCGCCGACCCCCAGTCTCACCGCTGAGACACGGGCCGTGCGGCCGGCGGCGCTGTTTCGCTTGGCAGCGGCGACGGCCGGCTGGTGCGGTCCTGAGTGACGGCGCCGTCGGCCGCAGCGGGCCCGCTCCGCGCCACCTGAACGGCGGCGGCCTCACCCGACCCCATATTGATCCCGACCCGGGTGTTGGGAGCGGCGGCCGCCGTAGTCCCCTCGCGCCAGACGTAACTACGCTCGACATGGGCGCTTCGTCCTCGGACACCGGCACTTTGGACGTCAGCTTGCAGTGGCGGCTCGGCGCTAAGCACTGGACTGCAGGCTTTCGCTGGTCCTGAATCACAGCTGGCTTACAGTTGAACGCCACTGGTTAGACTCGTTTCCTTGGTGATGTTCGTTTTATGCATGATGTTTAATTCAGTACTCGTCGACATAATTTGATGCTTTGTTTTTCGTCATCTGCATTTTGCAATGGCGCCGAGGGATGTTGCAGAAGAAATTATCTCGCTTGTTGTTCCGCTGTGGCGGAGAATAGAAGACGCATCAGCAGTTACATAAAATATCTTGTAGAATTTTCGTCGAAGCATGTTTTGGCCTAATTTGATTATTTTATTGGCGCAAAAGGCGTTTACGAAGTTGCACATCGACAGAGGTAACCCAGATACAAGTGCTGATACCTGTCCCCTTCCCAAAAAAGAAAAACATGTCGACCGGATTGAATTATTTAAATGGACTGACGGCGGAGAAGTGCATTCGACCGTCGAATGGTGCTGTGAAGCTGAAAGTGATATGTAACGTTTATTCACGGATGGAATGAAAACCTGATAGAAATAGCATGTAAGAACGAATCTATAGGACACTTCTAAGAAGGAACGCATTTTTTCATTTCGCCGATGTAAATGAAGAGATTTGAGCGTAAGCAATGGAAAACATTTATTGGTTTGAGCAGAAAAAGAAGCATAAGTGCGGAGTTTCCACATTGACTCCGGGTGCATCCGGGCGTCAACGAAGAAAAAAAGACCGGGATATCCCGTGGAAATCGCTGGAACCTGAGTGGAGTTACGCTCTCTGCATCTCAATAGGCTGTCACGCGTCAGATGAGTGCCGCTAGTGATGATAGGCGCGCTTTTCCAGTCCGTGTGGGCAACGTGTGCGTAGTTAAAAATCGCACACACATGAACATACGCTTATGCATGTGAATTTTTTTGAAAAAAATCCTTTAACATTGAGCCCAGAAACAAGTGTGAATTGCAGTAGACTCTTCCGTTTTTAGTGTTCTGTTTGCCTGGATCGTTTGTCTATGGCTCGTGGTTGATGGATAAGTTTACCAACTACTTTGTTAACTGTCACCTTGCCACTGCGTACATGCGTGTTTGACCCATAAGTTATCGCATACATTACGTAGATTGGAAAGAAACGGGTGTGGAAGATGAGTTTCTGTCCTTGACGTTTTTAGATGCCGTGAGCACCTGCGTTTTTGTGATATCCTTGATAAGATGAGCACTTAATTTTGCACTGATCTTGAACAATGCACATATAACAATACCGTTTTCCGTGCGGTTGAATATCTGAATAACGCATCTGAATATAATGGCATATGCTCTGTATTAAACACTCTCCAGACTCCCTTAAATTTGTTTCTGCAAGCCGCGTTAATGTTCCGTGTTTTTCCGGTCCTGAGTGCGATTTCCAAGTGCGATTGAAAAGGCCGCCAAAAACACTCGTATACATGCCAAACAGAGGGCCACGCTTTTCTTGTGGGCGGCGGCAGCGTGTGCAGCGGAGCGGCGTCACCTGTGTGGGACGCTGCCGGTCCGCGTTCTGCAGCTGCGGTGCCGGGCCGCTCTGCGGACGGGCGCCGTGGTGTGAGTCGCATCGGTTCGGCAGACGCGCTGACCGGCCGCCAGACCGACGCCGCAGCGCCGCGGCCGGGGCCGCCAACTCACCGACGGGAGTTGTCAGACCTGGAGCAGCGTGGGAGCGGTGGACCTGGACCATCGGAGGCAGGCAGAGCCCCCCCCCCCCCCCTTCCCCTGACCGATGCCGTGACTGGGGCCGGCCGAGCGGCGGCGCTGGCAGGCGATCACCTGGCCGGGCGGCTGCGCTCGACAGCTCTGGCGCCCCCGCTGAGCACGTCTGGCTCCGGCCTTTGACTCAGCGGTCGGCCGCGACGTGCCGCGGATTCATGTGAATGTCGGAGTGACCGAGCCGGCGCGCCGCCTGCCGTCAGCCGGCCGGCCGGCGATGGACCCCCGGCAGCGGCTTGAGGCGAAGCCTCCGGTGAAAATAAGAAAATATGGGGAGAGAAGTTCTCAGAAGACTCTGCACGGGAGTGTTCGCGCTGTTGGGACACCGCGCTGGAACGGATGAATGAATGATGTGCCTCTGACCGTGCGCAGGAGGGAATGGTCGCCTCTGATGGACGGCGTGACGCCGGTGGCGGGCTCCGCGGTAGCCTCGGCGTCCGTTCATCGCCAGCGGCCACGGCGTCGACCGTCGCCGGTGCGGCCCCCCTCTGTCGTGTGTTTCCGGCGCAGCGACGCAGGAGAAGCCGTGACCGACGCTCGGGGCTCTGCCTTTGCCGAGTGTGCAGCTCTGTATGTGGTCGGTGCGCCTCGGGCGGAGCCGGGGTCGGGCGGGTCACACGCGAAGTCAGCGGCGTCCGCTCATTAACTGGGTACGAACGAACAGCGAGAATATTTGTCATGGAAGGCTCACGATGTGTGGTGAGCTGCGAGAGCTTTGGCGGCTGCTCTGGCTGAGCAGTGAACCTACATCTGTTGACCGCGGCATCCTGTCGTGGGGCGGGATGTACTGGTTGCGTCTTCCCGCCGCGCTGTGAAATCGATTGGTGCTGGCTGTGCTCCCAGTCGGCCCTGCAGGTCCACAATATTTGGCGGCGTCTTCCCGCTGCCGCTGCCGCATACGTCTACAGTGATCGGATGTGTCTTCCCACTGCCCCGAAGTGTGCAGCCGGCCGCTGGCCACTGCTCGCGTCGCAGAACCGCAGCCGTTGGCCGTATGCCCCCGATGACGTGGTGTGGAGTGCGGTCCGCTGACGGCCGGCCCTGGTGTGTCGCAGCCTCCTACACGGGCAGCAGCTCCGACGAGGATGACATCTCGCCCCGTGAGAAGACGCAGACGGCCGCCGACGGCTTCGCCGACTTCTGCATCCGCAACGTGCAGCAGGCGGCCTTCGGGCGGCGCGAGATCGAGATCGCGGAACAAGGTATGCTGCGGCCGCGTGGAGGCGGAGCAGCTCCGTTCGGCGCCAGCTGCGTGCGGGCTCCGCGGCGCGAGCGTTGCGAAGGATTAGATCGAACTGGGTGGATCGAACTGACACCCACTGTCCATGCCACTGCAGTGTGGGTATGCGATGGTCCGTCACCGATAAGACACCGGTGGTGCTATGTGTTAGCTGTTTGCTTTTCGTCGCTTGTGTTGCTTTGTTGACTGCTCTTGCAGCTGCCGCAGCGCGACTCCGGCCGTGCGCTGAGACGTCTCGGATGCGGTGTTCGGTCGCGTGCCTGCCTCTGAGTGTCGACCGTCGGTGACGGCGGCCTGACGCCGGCTCCGGCGCTGGTGCCGCGTCGCGACCTGACGCCTCGCCGCCCGCCGGCAGAGATGCCGGGCATCATGGCGCTGAGGAAGCGAGCCGCCGAGGACAAGCCGCTGAGGGGCGCCAAGATCGTCGGCTGCACGCACATCAACGCTCAGACGGCGGTGGGTGATCGGACGTCATGGCCGGCGTGCGCGCGTGCGTGCGTGCGTGCGTGCGTGCCGCCTCTTGTTCTGATCCCTCCAGCTCGGTTGTCGTCGCAGTCCCGTGCTGACCGTCCTTCCCCAGGTGTCGGAGCCCGCTGTGCCCGCAGTCACGCGATCAGATCAGCTTCCTGAGAGTGCGTCGTGGCGCGGGTCGGCCGGAGCAGTCTCTCTGGAGCCAGACAGAGGATGTGGCGGCTGCTGGCAGCGGTTTGAGACTCGACTGACGTTAGCGGTCACAGGAGGGAGGTCGGATGTTTGGCCAGCCGTCTCCGAACGGCGCCCGTAGGCGCGCAGGCTAATATCACAGAGTGAGATGCCGTCGCTGGCTATGCTGTTGACGTAATTCACCCTACTCGTACAAAAAATTACTAGGAACATTGTATGATCACATAGCTATAACCTAGGATTTTCTACTTTAGTCAATTTGTTAGTACGTCATGTTAGCGCTTGATTTGAAATTGGGCAAAAGCAGTGTCCATGACGGTATTTCGCTTCATGTAAAGGCCTGAGATCCCACGTTTGTGCCGTTGCGTCGGCGCCGCGGCGTGGCACCTGGCCTCCTCGGCGGCCCGTGCCGTGTGGCGCCCCGCGTCTCGCGGCGCGCCGCCGGACACGGGCGCCGACCGACCGGCCGGCCGGCTGGATCGGTCCGCCTGGCGCACGCTTGCCGGCCGGCTGGATCGGTCCGCCTGGCGCACGCTTGCCGGCCGCCCAGCGCTCCTCAAAATGGGATCAGCGGCGTCGCTCGGTGACGCTAACGATGCGCGTGGCGAGCGCCGGATGGCCTGCGGGCCCGGAGAGCGCCGAGCCGAGGGGAGGGCGGCCGCGATGGCATCGATCTTGGCCACGGAGAGCAGCCGACCGGCCGGCCGGCGACGTGTTGCGTCTCCATGGGTCGGAAATACCCCGTCGACTCCGGAAGGTCACGTGACGGCCGTAATAATAAACATTGGCAGCGGACGAACGGACAAAAGTGCTAGACACTTAAGGAGGGATGTACGGATGTGTTGGGAATCACTTGTGAAGAGTGGACGCAATGTTGGTTGATGGCTCAAAAACGGCTTTTCAAGTCGATAGTGCTGAGGAGCGGCGCCACATTTATGAATGGGGAGTGATAGGGGGGGGGGGAGACGATTTTTCCGGGGTCTCTTGGGTAATTGGGTCTCCTCATAGGGGACCTTCAGGACAGTGTCGTATTCGAGGGTGAGGGGCACCAAGGGTATGTTCCTCCCTATCAAATTGTTACATGGATGGCATCCAAGTAAATAAATGTCGACACTTAATCCAGAATGGAGGCCTTCTGGTTATCCAGCTAAGGGTAAGAACTGGGTCTCATATCAAGAAAGGGCCTCTTGATGCCTAGAGAAATCTAGCCAAGGGGCCTCATCACAAAAATGGCCGTCCTGATCGGGAACCGGGACCATCTGGTGCATGAAAGAGGCATCCTGTTCCAAAAATGGGGCCTCCCGAATGTATAGCATGCTTCCGCGCCCAGAACAGGGGCGTCCTAGTTCGGAACGGGAGCCTCCCAAGCCAGCAAAGGGACCTCCTTGACTGAACATTGGGCCTGTTGATCTAGAGAAGGATCTTTTGAAACGAGGAGCTTTGAATATCCTGTTTTCCACCTTATTTATGGAGGTGGCCTTACAATCCAGAATATAGACCTCTTGATGTAGGAAAGGGTCTTTTGAGTCCGATTTATTACTCTCCATAACAGGTTTAAAATCTGAATTTGGCTACTTTACGGATAACTAGTAGTTGTAGCCTGTGGTTCGGGCAAAACGGGCCGAAAAAATGAGGGGACAGAAGCACACGTTGTCCCTCTGCCGACAGGCAGGGGGTTGGCTGCCCCCACGCCCCCTGCTGCGCCACCCCTGATGGGCTCAATGTCTTAACTCTGTTCACTTTTAAAACCATCCGTGGTGTTAATATTGTACGTCGGTGGATATGGCATTGCAGCAACGAGAGGTCAGCTTCATGATCGCCATCTGTGTTCCGTTTATGACGTCCTTGGTCCTCCTTTTCGGGGGAGGCATCACATGTGTGATCTGTTTGTGATTTTGATCTGTGCTTTACAGAAGCCGTCTGCAATACTGTTGTAATTACCTTTATTGTTACCATGCTTTATTGCTGCTGCGTTTTCTTCTCACAAGGTCCCGTCTGCATAGCACTGTTTGGACTCTTGATGTATGCGATGTGGCGCTCGGGGAATCTGATTATCTCAAATTACGCGATTATGCAACGCACAGGTCGTTAGCGTACGTTCTCGACATATGGGAACGAAATGCGGTAGGTCAGATTTCCACGGTAGCGCGGAATCATGCTGTTTCCGGGAAAACTGTGCACGGCTACTGTGCTGCGTGAAAACTGTGCCATCGAAACGGATTCCGCGGGGTGGATATTAAGAATTTCGACGTTCATCGTGGTGCCAAAAGTCACTGTCATTCCACACGTATATTATTCCTTATGACCGGTTGGCGATCTTTCATATTTTCCCACACAGTGTGTGCGTCGACGCCGCGTGAGGAAGTGGCTTTGGCGAGGTTTCCGCCGGTCGGCCCGCAGGCCGTGTTTCAGCGCCGACGTGTGACATCGACGCTGGCCGGGCGCCCGCGCCTGGGGGCGTGCCAGCACGGGGAGAGGGGGGGGGGGGGGGCGCAGCGGAGGCCAGTGGCTGCCGGCGAGGCCCACCGCTTCTGGTAAACGCTCGATTACCAGTCAGCAGGCCAGCTGTGTGCAGTTCTGAAAGGAGATCGCGTGGGCTGGGAGGCAATATCCGGATGTCGGCGTACCGCCTGAATGTGTGCCCTTGAAGCTCGCTCTCTCGTGTCGGTGTAGGAGGCTGCCGCGGCGACAGATCAACTGTGACGCGACTTGCAGCCGGGCTAAGGTCATGTTTCGTGGGCCCGCGTCCAGGGGAGCTCACTTGTCCCCTGTCACGGGGGCCGGCATAATTCAACCGCAGCGGACGTCAGCCAGCAGACGCACCCGCTTGGGGTCGACCAGCGTACGGCGGCACTGCCGAAGCCGTGGCGTCCCGCCGCCGACACCTCAGCTGCGTCACTCATGTCCTCTCCGGGGCCGTAGTGTGACCCTATGGCTGTGCTCGGTGACACGCCGGGGCCGGGTGGCAGACGGCGGTTGCGGGCGGTCATCGGCGCGGTGTCCGGCTGTACGGTGGCGCCACTGACTGGCCCTGCTCGGTCCCGACGTCTCTGTCCGAGGCGGCGGCCGCGCTGATGGTCGGCGACCGTGCCTGCCGACGGCGCGGTCTCCGGGCCCGCTGCCGCCGCTCCCCACCCGCTCCGTGTTCGTGTTGACCTTCGGTGATTGATCGTTGCTGGCTGGGTCACGAGTCACGAGCGCGTGCCGTCCGGTGCTGGCTGGCAGCAGGGCCGGCCGGCTTCCTGTCAATGCACCGTGGCGAGGGCTTGAGCCGCTGCCACTCGCGTCGCTTGGCGGCGCCCTCACTCAGATATGTTGGGCCTGTGTGGGCTCTGAAATGGTCGTGGCTTGGCCTGAGATTGTGAAGTCTATGGAGCTGCTCTCAATATGGCTCCGACTTTATGACTGCCAGTTGTTCTGTCCGTAACGACATCGCTATATCAAACGGTCCCTGAATGACACTTATAAAGCCCGTTGGATCTAACTTATGTAAGCATCGGTATGGGACGCTGTGTGTGGCCGCTGCCGTGTGTGGGCCGAACGAGACGAGCGAGCCGACCGTGCCCCTCAGGTGCTGATCGAGACGCTCATCTCTCTGGGCGCCACGGTACGCTGGGCCGCCTGCAACATCTACTCCACCCAGAACGAGGTGACGGCCGCCCTGGCCGAGAAAGGTGAGCCGTCGGGCGCCGCCGCCGGCCCGCTCCTTGTGCTCCCGCCCTGCGACAGGGCAGCAGCGCGGCGACCTCGCCCTCAGCGCGACGGCGATTCTTGGTAGGCGTAGTCTGGGCTGACTTGTCGATCTCACGTGATGGCAGGATGCAAGCGAGCCGGGTCCGCGGGGCGTTATGCGTGCGTTGGCTGGCGGAGTGGTTTGTTTGATGCACCACCTGCATGACGGAGCACAGATCACCCGGTTGGCTGTTGCCGGCGCCAACGCCCATGTTAAGTGTTTTTATTCGGTGCATTTGACAGTTTCGTAATGGATGCGGGCCGGGTTAAGTGTCGGCACATCCGCCGCCTTGGTGCCAATGTTTAGTCGGCAGCTTTCCCGAGATAGACACGGCTGCCCGCGATCCCATCCCCACCACATTACCGGAGCTAATCAAAGACTCGGCTGCCTGCTAGCCCGCCTCCACCACATTACCGGAGCTAATCAAAGACTCGGCTACCTGCTAGCCCGCCCCCACCACATTACCGGGGCCAATCAAAGACTCGGCTGCCTGCTAGCCCGCCCCCGCCACATTACCGGAGCTAATCAAAGACTCAACTGCCTGCTAGCCCGCCCCCGCCACATTACCGGGGCCAATCAAAGACTCAGCTGCCTGCTAGCCCGCCCCCACCACATTACCGGAGCTAATCAAAGACTCAGCTGCCTGCTAGCCCGCCCCCGCCACATTACCGGGGCCAATCAAAGACTCGGCCGCCTGCTAGCCCGCCCCCGCCACATTACCGGGGCCAATCAAAGACTCGGCTGCCTGCTAGCCCGCCCCCGCCACATTACCGGAGCTAATCAAAGACTCAGCTGCCTGCTAGCCCGCCCCCGCCACATTACCGGGGCCAATCAAAGACTCGGCCGCCTGCTAGCCCGCCCCCACCACATTACCGGGGCCAATCAAAGACTCGGCTGCCTGCTAGCCCGCCCCCGCCACATTACTGGGGCCAATCAAAGACTCGGCTGCCTGCTAGCCCGCCCCCACCACATTACCGGGGCCAATCAAAGACCCGGCTGCCTGCTAGCCAGCCCCCACCACATTACCGGGGCCAATCAAAGACTCGGCTGCCTGCTAGCCCGCCCCCCCCCCCCCCCCCACCACATTACCGGGGCCAATCAAAGCGGCCCAGTGCTAAACTCGCACCGTAATCTAGACTTGGCCTGCCGGCGGATCCGTCTGCTGCGGTATGGAGCTGTTCCCGGAGCCCGCTGTTTGTATTTGTGTGGTGTCCGCGCGGAAGCGCTACCTTATGCTCGCTTTCAGTGTCGATATGACTGCACGGCCCCGCTTGGCTTCGTTGACTGTAGTATTGCTCGCTACCCTAGTCCACTCGACTGCAGTGGGTGGCGTCTTGCTGTGAAGTGCATCCACTTGTTGACCCCGTTACTGCGCACCGGCTTATTGAACACGAGGTGTTTTCTTGCCATGGCTTATCTACGCGTCCTGATGTGTCGTGACCGTGCTCGTTCCCCCGAGAGGCCCGATATAGTGCCGCGGCTCCGACGCCGCCGATAATTCCCTCAGGCAATTATGTGTCCCTCGAAGCAGCACAGCTATCCATCTCTGGCAGCCCCGGCGTGTGACTAATGGGACGTCGCGTGCCTGGCGGCCCGCTGACGCGCCGCGTGCCTCCGGCAGGGGTGTCGGTGTTCGCGTGGCGCGGCGAGACAGAGGACGACTTCTGGTGGTGCATCGACAAGTGCATCAACGCCGAGAACTGGCAGCCCAACATGATTCTGGACGACGGCGGCGACGCCACCCACCTCATGCTCAAGAAATATCCGGCCATGTTCAAGCTTATCCGCGGTACGGTGATGGGCGGCTGCGGTACGGTAGTGCGGCGGCACGGAGACGGGGGGATCCGCGGTACCGAGATGGGGGCTTGGGTACTCTTATCCGTGTTACGCTCAGTCGCGGTACTTTGGGCCGTGTTACGCTCAGCCACGGTACTCTGGCCCGTGGTACCCTCAGCGGCGGCATTCTGGCCCGCGTTGCGCTCAGCCACGGTACTCTGGTCCGTGGTACGCTCAGCGGCGGTACTCTGCCCCGTGGTACGCTCAGCGGCGGTACTCTGGCCCGCGGTGCGCTCAGCCACGGTACTCTGGCCCGTGGTACGCTCAGCCACGGTACTCTGCCCCGTGGTACTCTCAGCCACGGCACTCTGCCCCGTGGTACGCTCAGCCGCGGTACTCTGCCCCGTGGTACGCTCAGCCGCGGTACTCTGCCCCGTGGTACGCTCAGCCGCGGTGCTCTGGCCCGTGGTACGCTCAGCCACGGTACTCTGCCCCGTGGTACGCTCAGCCGCGGTACTCTGGCCCGTGGTGCGCTCAGCCACGGTACTCTGGCCCGTGGTACGCTCAGCCACGGTACTCTGCCCCGTGGTACTCTCAGCCACGGTACTCTGCCCCGTGGTACGCTCAGCCGCGGTACTCTGGCCCGTGGTACGCTCAGCGGCGGTACAGTGGTACGGCGGCGCCGGCCGGTCCGCCGCAGCGCACCTCCCTGCGGCTCCGCAGCCGGCCGAAGCCTGCCGCCCGGCTGGGCTTGTGTGGCAATCTGGCTCTTTCCGTGGTCGGACGGGGTGGTGGTCGCACAGGCCGTTGGTTCACGGGCTGAATGCTCCGCGGGTTTGTTAGCGCCCCGTCTGCGCACGAGAGTGCAAAGGTGATATGTAGACGGTGTGGCGGCCTGTCGCCGTGTGGTCCACATGTCCCCTTCACCGCTCCATGAAACGTGCTGTGCTCGCGTGCAGGCGGTGCCAGGTGCCGGCCTTTAAGTGCCATATGTCCACCCACCATTGACCCGGAAGCGAAGGTTTCCATGGTCATGAGTTAAGCACTTTACGTGGGCTGACGGCACGCGAAAGGCGCATCGCTGCTAGCGAACTCAGCTACCGAGATATAGCTATGTCGAGTCGCGGGCTCTTGAGCAGTACTCCCGGGGTGTGTGCAGACCTGGTCTGCTACGAGAATAGTTCTGGAACGACCCGCTCGGGATGGGCAGTGACAAATTGGATGAAGCGGGCAATTCAGCGATAAATGAAAACCAGGCATGTTCACCAAGCGCGGTCGAATTGAAACATGCATGGTGTATAGTCTTGCGGGGTCGTGTTCCGCTGCGTTTTTTCCCTTTGGAAGACCGTCTGTTTTGCACTGACAGCATTTTGCGTTGGAATGAGCGCCGCCGACCCTTTGCCACGAACGATGCTTCCGCGGGATGCTTTGTCATCACGCTGCCACGCCTGCAGCTGGCAAAGCGGATACGACATGGCTGGCGCGTGCCTGCGAATTGAGACCTGCATCTGCCTGCGCATTGTTCATGGTGTATGGCCCGTGGGAGTGCTGAGATGGGAGCGTGTGCCGGCGGGCTGGTCTGCGATGGTGGGCGGACTCAAGAGGCGGCCACATGTGACACCGCCCCCGCCGGCCTGCGCGCAGGCATCGTGGAGGAGTCGGTGACGGGCGTGCACCGGCTGTACCAGCTGAGCAAGCAGCAGAAGCTGAGCGTACCGGCCATGAACGTGAACGACTCGGTCACCAAGACCAAGTTCGACAACCTGTACTCGTGCCGCGAGAGCATCATCGACAGGTGGGCCAAGCATCGGGGCTGACCGCTTCCTCCGCCGAGATCCGACCAGGACCGGCTTAGTCATGCGGCCCTGCCTCCCCCCCCCCCCCCCCCCCCAAGCCGACACGCTGATGTACGAGAAACCCGGTGGAAATGTGACTCGGGATGAAAATTGAATCTTCCTTGGATAACGTGTGCATCTGTATGTGCATACGAAATGAATAGGAAGTGTTTTCCTCCCTTGACCCGTTCGCGAGCTCTAGCATGCTGTGATGATGACCCCTGACCATGGCTAAGTGTACTTGCAAGATGTGAGGAGTTGCATGCTGGCATTTGTTTTCCTGATAGACACATAGGAACAGAGGCACGTGTGGCCGTGATAGGCAGTTGTTGAATTTCAACTCACCACGCCGCGGAGCCTGCGGATATTTTCGTCGTGCATTGTGTTCCTGAATGACTTGGCATGTTTTCAGGAAATGAAACCCTTGTATGACTCGCGATTGGAAAATTATTGTTATTTCCGTCGATGCGATGGACCAGCTATGCATTATGCATGATGCGGAAGTGCTGAGCTTATAGATCTGTTCTGGCGGTCGGAGCAGCAGTGGCGCCATCCGGGTGCGGTGGCGCCGTCTGGACGGGAATGAGGGCAGACAACACGTCAGGGGTCGGTTATGTACTACGTTACGCATAGCTGGGGTGGAGGTTTTAATGGAGCGTGGCCGAAGCGTAACAAAGCGCAAGGGAAGAGCGTAACGTTGCGCTCAGGTGTGGTGCCAAATCACACCGGCTTCTTTCTGAAGAGTTTTAAAGGCCTGATACCCTTGGCCTCCTCTCGTGGCAAGCAGCACGCCCGCCTTTGTTTCACACCCCCAGCTTAAGTTGTGGCCAATGGCACTCGATCTTTTTGGACGTTCCACTCATCACACCCTTACCTGGGGAGGGTATTTCGCCCAGGATGACCAGTGCGTAACCGGGGGATGGGGTTTGGGAACGGTCAAAAATGCGTGACGTAATCTATGAACAGCCTGTTGTGTGCCGATGAACCGCGCTGATGAGCAGCTTGCATGGTTCGGGTCACGGGGATCAAGCTGTGCCCGGTTGAGATTGGTGGTCACGTCATCAGCGCCAACGAGCGCTCAAGTCTGGCTGACTTCTCTAAATGTGGAGAGCATAAGATCACGAACCAACTTGGATCACCTGCGTACGAGTCTCCCACCTGCAGAGGGGCGCGGGCCGCCTGCTCAGCCCTAACACAGTGGTGTTTGTGACCCGTCCGCTGTCTGACATATGTCACCTCTCCAGTCCTCACATACGGTGGCGTGTGTGGCCGGTCCGCAGTCTGACGTGCGTTATCTCTTCAGTCCTCACGTGCAGTGACGTGTGTGGCCGGTCCGCAGTCTGACGTGCGTTATCTCTCCAGTCCTCACATACTGTGGCGCGTGTGGTCGGTCCCCAGTCTGACGTGCGTCACTTCTCCAGTCCTCACGCGCAGTGACGTGTGTGGCCGGTCCGCAGTCTGAAGCGCGCCACCGACATCATGTTCGGTGGGAAGCAGGCGCTGGTGTGCGGCTACGGTGAGGTCGGCAAGGGCTGCTGCCAGTCGCTGAAGGGGCTCGGCTGCGTGCTGTACGTCTCCGAGGTGGATCCCATCTGCGCCCTGCAGGCCAGGTACTGCTCGCCCTGACTGTGTCACCGCCTCGGCTTGGGAACAGGCTCCCGGAAATGCCGTCCCCGGCCGTGTCCAGCGCCTGTCCGGGCTTCTATTGTGGGAATGGTGTAAATGCGCATATAGCTTTATTCGGAAAGTCCGGAACCGCTAGTGTGAGAAGCCGCGATGTATCCTAACACTATTTCGTACAATATCCGTTCCGGTTTCTCATGGAGAAATGTGCATGCAAACTTAATCCATCTCAGGAAGTGAGGGTAACGTTGCAGCAACCCTGGCTGAGTCTGAGACCCATCGGTTACCCCACAGACGCCCCGCCGCACAGAAGGTGCGGGTGCTCGAGGGGGGGGGGGGACCGGGGAAGCGGGGTCGGCTGCGCCACATGACTTTGCATCGGGGAAGCAATGGGATGAAGGAGTTCGCGTGGGTTACCTCAAACTCTCATTCACACGGTAGTAGTACACGTTCTAAGTTTGCACCAACTGAACTTACATACACGAGTTGGTACTCTGCTTCTTTGAGACGGATGCAGAGAGGCGGGACCTGTGCTCCTCGGCTGTCAGCGTCGGTCTCGAGTTGCCGTCGTTGCGCGGCGTCTCTGCAGCCCCGTCTTCCGCCGCCCGCAGTATGGACGGGCTGCGCGTCGTCAAACTGAGCGAGGTCATTCGCAACGTGGACATCGTCATCACGGCCACGGGCAACAAGAACGTGGTCACCCGGGAGCACATGGACCGCATGAAGAACGGCGCCCTGCTCTGTAACATGGGCCACTCCAACACGGAGATCGACGTGGTGGGTGCGCCGACAGGCTGTAGTTCGTCTGGCAGTCACACGATGGCGCTGTCGTCACCGTCCTACAGTCTGGCGATGTGCTAGGCCAGTGGTAAAGCGACTCCTAAGCGGACTGGTTTGTACCTCTGCATGCACGTTTACTGAGAGATTACATGTATTAAGGCGTGTTCAAGGAGGCAGGGCACTTTGCAGTGGTTGCTGCATGGCGCAGGTGAATGCACAGCAAAGACAGTTTTTATGGGATTTGTCTACACGACATACGACACGGTTAAGTCGCAATGTTTGTGGCACTGGAACCGCTACAGTGTTCATCGAATGTCCAATTTGTGCGCCTGTCCGCAGAACTCGCTGCGCACGCCCGAGCTGACCTGGGAGAAGGTGCGCTCCTCGGTGGACCATATCATCTGGCCGGACGGCAAGCGGATCGTGCTGCTGGCCGAGGGTCGCCTCGTCAACCTCACCTGCTCCAGCGTGCCCTCGTTCGTCGTCTCCATCTCGGCCGCCACGCAGGTGAGAGCCGCGCGCGCAACCGGCCGGCCTGCCAACTGGTGGTCTCGCGGCGCGTGGGTGGGCGGGTCGTGTCGTCGGCACGGGCCTTCAGCGGGAGACCGACTGACTGACAGACTGAGCCCGCCAGCCCTGTCGCAGACTCACTGTGTCTGTCGCGCGAAGGTGAGGATGCCGATCAGCCGGTTTGTCCGACGCGCCGCCAGGTGCAGCCGGAGCGCTGTGGTGTGAAGGATCTCTCCCAAACATGAAGAATGGTTGGGTCATGCGGAGCGAAGAACGACTGACGAAACTCCATGCAGATATTCCGTGGGTTGCCGGATAGTTAATAAAATGGTCTCGTCTTCGGGAGGCCCCTAATCCCCAAGCCGTCATTATGGGAGTGGGCGGCCGGTCGGACGTCGCTCAGGATGACAGATGGTCGGTTTGTCGGGCTCGGTGTGGATCCAGACGGGTCGAACCCCTGGACTCGCACTGCTCTTTGAAGAATGACTGGACCATCTGAGCACTCAGAAGAAAAGATGGCTGGAGCTTCGGACCGCTCAGGAGGGGGGATGGCTGAGGCGACGGACCACGTAGAAAGGGAATGGCTGAGGCGACGAACCGCGCGGAAGGGTGATGGCTGGGGCGTCGGACCGCGCAGAAGGGTGATGGCTGGGGCGTCGGACCGGGCGTCGGACCGCGCAGAAGGGTGATGGCTGGGGCGGCGTAATGCGCAGAAGGGAGGACGGCTGGGGCGTCGGACCGCGCAGAAGGGTGATGGCTGGGGCGTCGGACCGGGCGTCGGACCGCGCAGAAGGGTGATGGCTGAGGCGACGAACCGCGCAGAAGGGTGATGGCTGGGGCGACGTAATGCGCAGAAGGGAGGATGGCTGGGGCGTCGGACCGCGCAGAAGGGTGATGGCTGGGGCGACGAACCGCGCAGAAGGGTGATGGCTGGGGTGACGTAATGCGCAGAAGGGAGGATGGCTGGGGCGTCGGACCGCGGGGAGGGAGAATACCGTACCTGTGGTCCGCCGGTCTGTGAGCCGCTCGGGAGGTGTGGCCCGTGAGGCCGCACAGAACATCTCCACCGGGTGTTTGGCAGGCGTCCTGCAGGCTCAAGAGGCCCGTTTGGTTGTGTGCGATGACTGTGACACCTGCTATGTCGGCCTTGTGCGACCTCCGCTCCGCCGGCCCGATGTCAGCCTGGCGGTGACGTGGCGTGACAGCGCCTCAGGCGTCATTGCCCCCGTGTGGCATGGCGGTACCTGCACGCAAGTCTCCACAACTTTGTGAAGTGGCACGTTATTGCCGACATTTCTGAACTTCGCCATGATTTTTGCGTTAAAAGAATTTGCTTAGAAGGTGCTATCTATTCGCCTGCCGTCGCTCGAGAAAAACACGAATGCGTCCGGATGAGCGGGGCAGGTCGGTCGGCGCCCGCTGGAATCAGCCGCGCTCGGCGAGGCCAGACGCGCTGTTTGGCGGGAAGAATGCAGCGGGGGCCAATAGCCGCTGCCCGCCCGCCCTGAAAACACTCGGTCTGGCCGCAAACTATTCCAATCTGGCGCGCGTCCGCTCGGCGCTCCTGGAAGAGGCGCCGCCGCGTGGGCCGAGCCGGCCGTCCGGACAGGTCGCGTCCGGCGCCGCCCGACTGGGGCTCGCGGCCGCCGGCTACCAGCTGTTGGAGCCGGCTCGTTTGCGTGCAGCTGACGCGTTGGGGAAACCGTTCCCGTGTGCGACGATCGATAAGCGCAGTAAGTCTGGCTAGTGCTGTCTTATGCTATGCTGCCTCATACGGCGTTACACTGTCCCTGGTCGCGTTATTGTTCAAACGCAGTTAGGAGTTTTCTCGTATTTTGGGTCTACATCGTGTTCTAGGTGTTCGGGTCTGCATCGGGGTCTAGGTGTTCGGGTCTGAGTCGCCCTCTAGGTGTTCGGGTCTGAGTCGTGTTCTAGGTGCTCGGGTCTGACTCGTACTCTAGGTGTTCGGGCCAGTGTTTTGCTCTAGGTGCTCGGGTCTGCGTCGTGCTGTACGTGCTCGAGTCTGTATCGTGCTCCACAAGGACTATGCGTGCATGTTACAGCGGAGATGCCAATCTCACATTGCCGCTATCTCCATGAGACGTTGCAGCGGTGCAGTCAAAGGACGCAGGTAGCGATTCATTACGCCCCGCCGGGACTCGCCGACACTGTCTTCTCCAGTCGGCCGACCTCCGTGCCTCGGCCGAGGTGGAGGCAGCTTCCGATGTGCGCCCAGAGCTGCAGGCATGCGGGGAAGGGACGGCGCCAGTGCCGCGCTTGGCAGCAGTGATAAGCCTCTCTCATCTGTGGGACCCGCCCCTCTGGTAGCGGTCGTGAGTGGCTCGTCACAGTGGGTGTGAGGGGTAGGTGGTTCAGTTTGCAGTTTTGTTGGTGGATAGTTTTCCTCGTGGTGTTTGCGGGTGGCCTGTCGTTGGTGCGTACTTACGTTTGTTTTCATTGGCGGCTCATGCGTCTTGTCATGCTGCCGAGGGGTTCGTCTGTGCCGTCTTCTTCGCGTGGGGCTTGCCTCTGTAATCGAGTCCGTGGGAGAGGAATGCCCTGTGGCGTGCCCTTGGGCGGCGCATATGTGAAGTCGTGTTCAGCAGTGACTCGTCTCTGTTGTGCTCCGTGCTGACTCAGGTGTGTTCCCTGGGGTGACAGGCCACGCTTGTCTTTTGTCGTGCTCTTGGGTTACCTCGCCCCAGTATCTGCGTTTGTGAGCAACTTGAATAGTGTTCGCTGGACGCTCGTCTCCGCAGTCACGTTTGTGGGCGGTTGGTCTGTGTGGCCATTTTCCTGGTTGGCCGTCCGGCAGTTGTAATGGGTGGGGGTGGCGCTTCACAGAATTTCCGTCGGTGGATGATTGTTCTCTCTGAGAAGTGGTGCTCGTGGGTGGTCTGCCGCGGCGGCTGTTTCCGTGGACGACTCAGTGATACAGTCGTGCCCGGAAGTGATTGGTGCCGGGACTGTTGATCCTCGGCGCTTTAGCGCATGTTGGCGCGTGATTCCTGCCGAATGCTTTTCCTGGAAGACGACTGCCTGGAACGGCGTGATATTGAACTATTCAGGCTAGTGGATGTGCTGAACTGTCCAGCTTGATGCTCGGTGGTCCAATCGTGTAGGGACTAAAACCTCGCCGGGAAGAGATCCGTATTTCATGAGGATAATGTGAGCCGTCCTGTATATTCAAACACGCTCGAAATAGACCGAAATCCAAAGGCTGTGAATGAAATGACATCTACCCCGAATTCATCCTACAATATTCCACGAAAACGGCGGCGGAGTGTGCTCGATCCGAGCTGGCCGTGGACTTGTCGACCTATTGAGGACGGCGCCGACTTCCGTCCGGCCGGCGCGGCGCGGCGCGGCGCGCGGCTGAACGTGACCGCGCTGGGCGGCGCGCGGCTCGGCGGGGGCTGCTGCGGGTCACGCGACGCGACAGCCCTCCCGGCCCGCAGCCAGCGGCGCCGCAGCCGGCAACTTTGTTCGCCCGGCCGCCCCCGGCCCGGACCGTGTCTTGCGGCTGCGCCGCGCCATGATATATGATCAAAGTTCGGAAAGTGATTTCATGCTCAGAGGCCGATAATGCGGCGCTCGGCCTGGTGGCGGCCGCCCCCGGCGCACCCCGATGACGTCACACCGGCGGAGGTCACCGAGGCCGGGCGAGCCGGTGACAAGGACAGAGGGTCGGCGGTGACGCACGCGTGACGAGGCTGCGGAGGGAGACGGATGACGTCACGGGAAGTGACGCGACTGAGGGGTGTCCTCACGCGCAAGGAAGGAGGTGTGTAGGAGGGACGGTGACATCGCACAGGGCGTGGGGCGTTGGCATGGAGGGAGTGTATTGCAAATCTGGATGGTATTGCGATGGCTTTCTTTGTACAGATGGAACGTAAGAAATGGTGCCACACAGATTAATGTCGAAAAAGCACAACAGGATTTCACGAAACCGTGGCTTTTTGACGAGTTGTTCTCAAGCTCGCCAGTGCTGATTGCTTTCGTCAGTAGCAATGGCATCAGCTGCACCAGTCAGCTGCACAAGACGTGCGCCGTCGTAATAGCGTTCTCTCGGATCCAATGTCGGTTCTTGGACCAAGTTATTCCCCCGTCCGTACTTGCCTGTGCTATGCCTAATCCACGTAATAGGCCCATTCCGGGCAGATTACGTCTGGCTCCGTCTCTGCCTTCCGACGGCGCCACTGCGCCATCTGGGGATTTTGCGGCGCAATAGGCGGCCAGCTCAGGCGGAGTTCGAGCCCCGGACCGGCGCCCTCCAGCGGCTCCGGTCCGGCCGGTCGGCGGCGTCTCGGGCGGCGTGCGAGCTTCGGACCGGCGCCTTCCAGTGGCCCCGGTCCGGCCGGCCGGCGGCCTCTCGGGCGGCGGTCGAGCGGGGCCGGTCGGGCTCGCGTACGATCCGGACGAGTCCAGCCGCGTCCGACAGCAGCGGCTGGGAGGCGTCGTCCCGCCGCTGCCGGCGTCACCCAAGCTCCGGGCTGCGGCTGCGGCCCTCGGACCCGGAATGGCGCATAGGGACGCGGAGAAAGTGACAAGTTAACACTTCTGCTGTTTGGGTGTGCAGATCATGCAGTATACACCATCGGACTTGGTGTCCTTTCTGAGCTGCTCTATCTTGGTTCATTCAGAACACATGTAGGCAAAGCATATGAATGCATGTATTATGCTGGGCTAGGACACTCCCTTGTATGAAGCGCCAGCGATTGCAGGGCTACTCCGCGCTCCCATCCCCAGAGAGGGAGCCGGCGGTCAGCCACCGCGCGACCGTGGAAACGCGTCGACTGGGACGCGTTCAACCTGAATGCTGCTTGCCGATTTGGAGCCGCTCTGCGCCGCTGCCACCACAGGTGACAAGGTGGCCGCGTTTATGGAAGTATGGAACGTCGCAGTCGACGCTCACTGCCCGAACATCGCAGAGAAGTCGCGCCGGCCCGGCTGTCCGTGGCTGCGTGGAGATAGCAACGACTCCGCAGCTGTGGAGGAGCGTTACTGCGCCCACGGGGCCTGGAAGTGCTTCCATACCACAGAGGCGCGCCGCGCGTACCAGCGGTGCCGTAACAGAGTGAAGCGGCTGAACACTCGCGCGACGCTCCTACCTGTGCAGCAGTCCGCTGACAGGGCGGCGAGATTTCTGGCGCCGCCTCAAAGCAACTCGGACTGTAGCCAGCGAGAGGGCGCGACACACCCGATAACAGCATGGGTGCCCCGGGTAGACGCACTCAATGTCCAC